GTCCCAATTTCCTGTGTGGTAAATTGATCAAGGCAAATGGGACAAACTGGACAGTTCTCTGACTCTTTATCCTTACGGCACTCTGACATGTGAGCGGCAGCTCCAGATGATGTTGACGGTATCGGTTCCTCTCCAATATTACGAGCCTCGGTTGTTGAAGCAGCAGTGGGGTGACGAGAGAAAATCCTAACTTCTTCCGATACCCCTTCTCCTTCTGTCTCAGGACAACTCACACTAACAATATTCCTATTTCTTTCAGTCCTAGAATATCTCATTGATGTATGTCCAGTGACTTCTCCTTCATCATCGCAACCAGGCTCATCGTCATGGTAACTCTTGTCGTTCTTACCGACAATTCCCTGCACTGCAGTATATACTATCAGAGGGCAATCAGAGTCACTGCTTTTGTTTTCAGAGTCCCCACTATTCGACCTGCTGCTCTTTCTGCATGGTTTATTAGGGCTTTCATCATTGTCATTGCAGCTGTCAGATTCTTCTGTTCGACAATCTGGAGTCTTCCTCGTTTCAGTCACTGCGGGTAACTGTGGAGGGCAATCAGTATCACTGCTCCTCTCAGAACCACTATGACTCCTTTTTCTCCTCTTTTTGCATGGTTCAGTAGGTGTGTCATCAATGTCACTGGAGGTGTCAGTGTCTTCTTTTTGACAAACCGGTGTTTTCACATTTTCAGACACTGCAGTTAAGTGAGGAGGGCAATCAGTAATACTGCTCCTCTCAGAACCACTATGACTCCTTTTTCTGCTCTTTTTGAGTGGTTCAGTAAGGGTGTCATCAATGTCACTGCAGTTGTCAGTGTCTTCTTTTTGATGAACCGGTGTCTTCACATTTTCAGACACTGCAGTTAAGTGAGGAGGGCAATCAGTAGCACTGCTCCTCTCAGAACCATTATGACTCCTTTTTCTGCTGATTTCGAGTGGTTCAGTAAGGGTGTCATCAATGTCACTGCAGTTGTCAGTGTCTTCTTTTTGATGAACCGGTGTCTTCACCTTTTCAGTCACTGCAGTTAAGTGAGGAGGGCAATCAGCACTGCTCTCAGAACCACTATGACTCCTTTTTCTCCTCTTTTTGCATGGTTCAGTAGGTGTGTCATCAATGTCACTGCAGCTGTCAGTGTCTTCTTTTTGACGATCCGGTGTCTTCAACTTTTCAGTCACTGCAGTTAAGTGAGGAGGGCAATCAGTAGCACTGCTCCTCTCAGAACCACTATGACTCCTTTTTCTGCTCTTTTCGAGTGGTTCAGTAAGGGTGTCATCAATGTCACTGCAGGTGTCAGTGTCTTCTTCTTGACGAACCGGTGTTTTCACATTTTCAGACACTGCGGTTAAGTGAGGAGGGCAATCCGTAGCACTGCTCCTCTCAGAACCA